CCCCCCCATGGTCAATTATGTGATTGCCATCGCGTCTTCTAGTCTGCTTTATTTGTGTTAACTCCTATTTCCATTTTTAAGGACATCTTTCAAACATGGCAGAAGCTCAGACTCACTGGCTTGGAGCAGCCCTGTCTCTCATCCCTTTAATTTTCCTCATCTCTGGGGCCGAAGCAGCTTCATTTCAGCGAAACCAGCTGCTACAGAAAGAACCAGACCTCAGGCTGGAGAACGTCCAAAGGTTTCCCAGTCCTGAGATGATCAGGGCCTTGGAGTACATAGAAAAGCTCCGACAGCAAGCTCACAAAGAGGAAAGCAGCCCCGACTACAACTCCTACCAAGGCGTCTCCGCTCCCCTTCAGCAGAAAGAAAACGGGGATGAAAGTTCGAGGGATTCCCTGAGCGAAGACGAGTGGCTGAGAATCGTCCTTGAAGCCCTGAGGCAGGCCGAACATGAGCCCCCGTCTGCACCAAACGAAAACAAGCCCTATGCCCTGAATGCGGAGAACTTCCCAGCGGACGCGGCCGATGACTACGACACTCAGCAGTGGCCGGAGAGAAAGCTCAAGCACGGCCGATTCCCTCCGCTGTACGAAGACACTTCCCGGGACAACCCCTTCAAGCGCACAAATGAGATCGTGGAGGAGCAGTACACCCCCCAAAGCCTTGCCACGCTGGAGTCTGTGTTCCAGGAGCTGGGGAAGCTGGCGGGACCCAACACCAGGAAGCGCGACAGGACCGAGGACGAACACAAGCTTTACGCGGACGATGACGATGACATCTACAAGGCCAACAACATCGCCTACGAGGACGTGGTTGGGGGGGAAGACTGGAGCCCGGCGGAGGAAAAACTGGAGAGTCAGACCCAGGAGGAGGCGAAGGACAGCAAAGAGCGTGTAGAAAAAACCGAACAAGCCAACGAGGAAACGAAGCGCTCGGGGCAGCTGGGCCTCCAGGATGATCCCCGCAAAGAGAGGAAAGACCAGCTCTCCGAGGATGCCTCCAAAGTCGTCGCCTACCTGAAGAGGCTGGTGAGTGCCGCGGGGGGTGCGAGGGCGCAGAGCGGGCCGAATGGCGAGAGAGCAGCCAGGCTTTTTGAGAAGCCCCTTGATTCTCAGTCTATTTATCAGCTGATTGAAATTTCCAGGAATTTACAGATACCCCCTGAAGACTTAATCGACATGCTCAGAACAGGAGAGAAGCCAAACGGATCAGTGGAACCGGAGCCCGACCTTGACCTCCCCGTTGACCTAGATGACATCTCAGAGGCTGACTTAGACGGCCCGGATATATTCCAAAATAAGATGCTCTCCAAGAATGGCTACCCCAAAATACCTGGCCACGCTGGGACGGAGGCCCTGCCCGATGGACTCACTGTTGAGGACATTTTGAGCCTTTTAGGGATGGAGGGTGCTGCAAATCAAAGGCCCCCGTATTCGCCCAGTCAGTATAACCGAGAGAAGGTTCTGCCCAGGCTCCCCTACGGTCCTGGACGATCGAGAGCAAACCAGCTGTCCAAAGGGGCCTGGATGCCAGATGTTGAAAACAGGCCAATGGCATATGAAAACCTGAATGACAAAGATCAGGAGTTAGGAGAGTACTTGGCCAGGATGCTAGTTAAATACCCTGAGATCATGAGCTCGGCCCAGATGAAGCGAGCTCCCGGCCAGGTCTCGGCCGAAGAGGAGCTACAGGGAGAGGACCAGGCGGAGCAGGCCGTCAAGGAACACGCCAATCCCGGGGGCCCTCAGGAGACCGACAAGGCGGCCTCGGTGAGCAAAAGGCTCCCCGTGGGGCCCCCGAAGAGTGAGAATCCTCCAAGCAGACAGTACTTGGATGAAGACCTGCTGATGAAAGTGCTGGAGCACCTCAACCAAGAAAAGGCAGAAAAGGGAAGGGAGCACATTACTAAGAGAGCAATGGAAAATATGTAAGAGGCTTTCATTAAACGCCCTGCTTTCACTCCTCCTGCCCCAAGAAAACCCCAACATTTCTCTTTCGTGTGTTGACCTCTATCCTGTTAACACTGTAATATCTTTCAACCACGTGTGGACAGACGTCTCCCTGACGCTGGAGTGTCTGCTTCACTCACGCCGCGTTGTTCTCTTGTGTATTGATAGGTGTAAATGTTATGATTTCTGGATTAAAAAAAGTAATTATACCCCTTATTTAAGAAAGATACCTATGATCGTGTTTAACAGTGTATCTAATGGTCGTGGCATTGTGGATGCTCCCATATGATAAAGTGTCTTATAATTCTCTGGAAAGTTTTTAATATTTATTGAATTATTTTGTTATTGTCTGTAGTGTTTCGTGGAGTACTGAAGCAAAAAAAAAATAATAATAAAACATTATAAATGTATAGTTTTATTTACACGGCCTTTTCAATGTGTCCTTTATTTTTGATTAATAAATGTTATTTCTGCCCAACTGTGGACTCTTCATTCTGGAAACCAGAGGCAATGGTTACAGAGCAAGCAGTGTGGAGCCCAAAGAGAAAACTGTCCCCTTCCACAGCCAACCCGGGCGAGATGTCGTGAGTCCTGCGTATAAGGCCGTGGTACAGGCTTGTAGGATGCAACACCCTACCAGCCCGCCACCTAAGGCTTGCCTAAGGCTTTTCTCATGTATGTATAACGTATGGAATGAGCCTTTTGTTTTCCTGTTTATATCTTTTTCCTTTGATTTACATGCGTAAAAGCATTTAAGTCTTCCATACACATAACCGACACTGAAAAAAAAGAGCTGTGTATGGGGCAATCAGAAATGACTGTAGACTTAGAAGCAACCTGCCTATTCCAGGTCACCTTGGTCTCCAGAACACAAGGCTTCTGCCTCTTTTGTATGATTCCAGAGGGGTGGAAAGGCCTTCAGAGTGACTGTCAGCTAAGTGAATGGGCCGGGCACCGTGAGAACACCAGCTGCCGCTCTCGGGCCTTAGTGCCAGAGAGGATCCCAAGTGAGGTGGGCAGCACCTAACTGTCACACTGGGCGTCACTTCAGGGGGCAGGGAAGATATCGGCATCCTAACACATCAGCAGGAAATCAGCAGCAGCAGCAAGAAAAGATACAGAGCAAGGAAATGACAATGGTCATTTAAAAAAACAACCGCCAAGGAAATAAAGAATCGTCACTATTTATTGCATGCCTTTTGTGCACTGGGCATTATACCAAATACTTTACACACTTTTACTTCATTTGGCCTCTACTATCCCACAGTCAAGGGCCTTTTATTTCCATTTTACATCAGGAAAAACAAAACTCAGAAGGGTTATATAACTTTCCCAAAGTGTCAGCTGACAAAGCCTGTGTTCTTAACCACTTCACTACGCTGCCTCTCTGGGAGGCGCCCTTCCCCTGAGGCTTGGGACTTTGGGGGTGGGGTGGGGAGGGGCTCATGAGGTCTCAGTAGGGCCACTTTCAAGTGAGGGCACGTGTGCGCGTCTGTGCATGTGTGTGTGTGTGTGTATGTGTGTCTCAGGGGTGGAGAGGGGAGGCCATCCTTGAATAACTTGAGGGGAAAACACTGGATGTAGGTCTTTCCTGCTTCATAATTTTGCCCTGACTCTTTTCTGTCCAATTATTATATAATTTTATGAAATCCAATACTCTGTAGGTGGAAGAGACCTTAGAGGTGAATTATGTCTACAGCGTTTCTAATATGTGGTCTTTACTCAGATACTTCCATGGGAGAGAGTTACTACCCCACGAGGCAGCAGAGTGACTTGAGAGGGCCAGGACATTTGCGAAGCTTCAGGTTCAGGTGCAGATTTACATGTCATGCGGTGCGGATGTGCACACCGCCTTCTGCCCATTGTATGTTCTCTCCCACCTCCCGCTCCATGCAGCAGGCCACTCCTAGGACACGGACTCCCACGTGCGACTGTTTCCATGCAAGCCCTTAACAGACATGAGAACCTGGCCCATCTCCAGCCAACAGAACTGACCCTCCTGACAGGTTAGGAAGTGAGAGCAGGTGACAGACACAACACAGCTGGTGCGGGTCCAGGCTGGGACTGATACCCAGATCAGGGGGATGCGGGACCTCATGCTCAGTCTGCTACGACGCAAAGTGGTGCTTTTCTCGTCAAGTCTCAGTGAGACCAGAAATTCCACGATTCTCTCACGATAACATTTCAGGCACCAGGACTGGCAGCTGGGGGATGTTTAATTCGAGACATATATTCTCTGCCCGACTTCTCTCAGACAGCAGCCAGCAAGCATCTTTGCCTTTTTCGCAGCACCACTCACTACATCTCCAGCTACTGAGTCATCAGGCATATTTATTTCTGATCCAAAGTGGTTTTTTTCCACAAGTACATGGCTCACTAGCATAAGAAATAAAGCTCTAAGTACCATTCAAAGATGTGGGTGAAAAACTAGTTGGAATTAGGGCAACACTGCCCCTTTGCCTGCCCAGAAGTCTTTCAGCAGAAGTCACGGAGTAGCTGGAGCCCTCCAAGCAGGGGCCCTCCGCAGGCTACCCCCGGGAGGAGGGAGGAACTGCTCGCACACCAAGCCTGAACCCCTGCAGGAGCCAGGCCTCCATCAGAGTCAGATAAGAGCCTCGCACTCTGTATGAGCTTGGCAAGACCCCGACCAACCCAGCCCTTCCTCTCGTCAATACTCAGCCTCTCCTCCTTTCCTGCCTTGGGGACAGTTAGGACTAAACCGGTTGTACCCTTTATAACAAGACCTCCAAGCCATCCCTCCTTTCCCACACTCAAGGCCCCCCTTTTGACCCCCCGTTCCTGCTCTTTCCCATATTCTATAGCTTACTCAGGGTCTGCCATCAGCAAGGCCCCTGGATCCTCAGTCTCCTCTGTAATATTCCCTTCACCTTGCTCCGAGGGAAACCTCTCTCTCTCCTGAAGTTGCTGCCTCCCCTGGAACTCTCTTCCTTGCTCCTTTTTGCTGCTTTGGGGACATTTTTTTTCTTTCAACTTTTCTTTTGAGGGGAGATGGTATGCGAACACACAGCTTTATTACTCTTGAGGATTACCTTAGATGCAAGCGAAAGTAAAACCAAGTCAAATGAGATGCCTCAAGAACGTAAACAGAGGTTCACAAAGTCCAAGTAAAGGACAAGCCAAAATGTTGGGCATCTGGAACGGCTGGAGTAGCGGTCTTTTTTAAAAATTGCAACACACTGGGCATGTAACGCTGTAAACGTAAGGTGTCCACTGTATGGATTTGCTGCTTTGAATCTCCTGCCGTCACCCAGGGCCTGCCCATTACCTCTCCCTGGCGCGGTGTCTATGGCCCTGGTCACCTCCCCTCATGCGTTAGAAACAGTAGCTTCTGCTCACTGTCACTTTTCTGTTGCCTGATGCTTGTCAATTTCAATATCCAGGAAAATGGCCTTTCGGGCACTTTCCAGGCTGGTCACTTGCATTGTTATGCCCTTGACCTTTTTCTTACTAGTAAGTGCAACCTACCCTACATCTAAATCTAAACATTTCACTCTACCAACCACCCTCCCTGTCTCCACTGTACTTCTTCCTCTAGTGCCTTTGTTCCAATAAACCCCCACGCCCACCGAAAATGTAATCCATGGATCGATCATCTTACCGCTCTCTCCCATTCCCTATATTTTTCACCTCCCGCCTAGAGAAGCTTAAATTTCATACGTGTCATTACTATCGCTCCTTTGTAAACATTCTTAACCCCCTTGGGTCTCTCATGTTTCTTTTTTTCCCCCTTTGAATGAATTTATTGGGGCGACACTGGTTAACAAAATTACACAGGCTTCAGGCGCACAGTCCCACAACACATCCTCTGTATGCGGTATTGTGTGCTCACCACCTCGAGTCAGGCCTCCTTCCATCACCATTTATGCCCCATGCCCTCCTCCCCTCTCCTTCTCCCCCTCTCCTGGGCAATCCCTTTTTCTCAATCCCTCCACCCCCCACCCAGTACCCCAACCCCTCACCCCCCGACACCTGTCTACCTGCTCTCTCTCCATGCATCTCCCTTTATTTTGCTTGTTAGTTCATTTTGTTCCTTAGAGTGAAATCATGTGGCACCTGTCTCTCTCTGACCGGCTCATTTCCCTTAGCATTTTCCCTAGAATTCTAGTGAAGTCCAATTCTCCACCCACGCGTACCTCCTCTCCCACAACTGAACATAGTAGGAAAACACACCCTGACCGATTGATTTCACTTTATTGATGCTCAGGGACTTCAAGTGGCCCCTAATACCCTCCTGGAATCCTGTATACCCCCAGCCGCTCAGTCTCTCTCCCCTAGATAGCATCGTAATTTCCCTTCTGCCAGCAAATATCTAATCCCATCTCCACGGTCCACACTCTCATGTGATTATATTGCTTCATGTTTGACTGAGAAAAATAAAGAACCTGAGGAGAAGGCCCTCAGGCTCCCATGTTCATTTTTACCTACCTGCTGCATTTGGGGCGATACAGTCCCTGCTCCCTTTCCTTGTGGGTAACTGGCCTGGGTTTCCGCCTTTATTAAGCCCCCCACTCGTGCGCTCAGTCCTGCCTTCTTGTTTGCTGGAGCACATCCTTTTAGTAATTCTCCCATTCACTGTGCAGCAACTTCTGTCGTTGTCCTAGATCATCCCCAGCAGCCTACAAATAGTTTGCAATTTTTTTCATCTGCAAACCCCACAAAACAAACAAAAACCTCCTCTAATCCCATTTTCCCTTACACCTACTGCCCTGTCTCTTCCCTCTCAGAAAAACTCTTTAAAGAGTTATGTAAAACTTACCCAAATTCTCCCCTTACGTTCTCAATCAGGTTTTTACCCCCACCTCTTCACAGAAAGGGATCTTGTTGAGGTCAGCGATGACCTCCACACTGCTAAATCTGACGGCCATTCCAAGTCCTTATCTTATTTGACTTAGCAGCACTTGACAATGTGATCACTGTTTCCCCTGTAGAGACCTTCCTTGCTTGGTGTACAGGTCACCACACATGCCGGGCTCTCCCTCTACCTCACTGGCCACTCTTTCTCAGTATCCTTTGCTGTCCCTTTCCATCTCCCCAACCTCTGAACATTGGAGATCAGAGCTCAGACTTTGAAAGCTGTCAGCTGGTGGCAACTGGGCCAAGATATTTTTTCAATTCCACTTGTGCATGATCAGAAGGGCCTAGGCCATGGTTAGGCATGCCTCTAAGATGCAGTAGTTTTCTAGCATGACAAAATTATAGTAATTTTGGCATTTTTATTAATATAGAAGAGAATTATAGTTATTTTACCCCCATAGAACAAAATGATTACTGTTATTATAAAGGGAATGGAGATTAGCCACATGCTGATATAAGTTATGCCAGCCCAAATACGTAGCTACTACAGCTAAAGCTATTTATGGGGCAACTATTATTCTTGACTGTTGGAGGTCTAGGAAGCCCT